CGCGTGGCCGATGATTCAATTTTCCACTTCAAAACCGGGATCTGCGGGACCGACTTTCCACACTTCCTGGGGGTCGATCATCCACACACGACACCAACCGACACTCTCATTACGAGCCAGAGACCATCACCTTTTCCAGCTCTATCACCATCTTCCTGCAATGGGCCTTTGTATCTCCGCCATCCGCGGTGCTCGTGCGAATCAAGCACCGCCGTCCGCACCATAAACTGCTAAAGGTTTGACCGCAACGAACACCAAGCTACTGCGATTATCTGCAACTAAACCAAATTGTTCCTATCTGTCTAGCTAGTCGATACGCCGTTTCTGTGCTTTGAAGCCTATTGAAAGAAGCAGAAAGAGAATAATGAAAAGCCCATCAAGGAGCCTCGTAAGCCGTGAGTAAGGCTGGGTATCTTCGTACTAATCGTCGGGTCATTCGCGAGTCTTCAATCCATCTTCCATATCCCTACGCCTTGAACCCTGAGCGCCAACAGTCTGTACCATACACGTCCCGGAAAAGTGGTATGCAAAGTTCATCCAGACTGGCCTGCCGAACGAGTGATGATGAGGTCCTCGAACTCAACCGTGGAATCAGGTCTCGTGCGTTGACCCAATACTAAGGTTGTCTGAGAGTCTTCGCGCGAATACTTGGGACGGCGAACAAGGTCGCTCGAGTTCACGATGGCGCCTGCATCGAAGGCGTTCCGACGCACATCGTCCCCCTGAACATTCGGCATCAATTCAAACCGGACTTTTCGTACCCTCCGACGTCTTTTGTGGATGACCAAGCGTCCATCAACCTGCTGGACAGGTGAAGCGTTGAAGTGCTCCGAAGCGGGATAAGAAAGTGCTGGAAACAGGAAGTTGCGCCGTAGTCCTTGATCACTGTCCGTTGGTTGGCTGCGAGAGTGGTCTCCTGTAGCTGTTTGCCTTCGGGAGGTATCAGGTCCGCCAGCGATAGCCGTAGACTCCCTTCGAACGGTGCGATTGGCCCTGCTTGACGGGGGACAAGGAGCCAGACCAATCCCCAGATACTCTTCGATCGACCGCCTGGAGTGCCTGCGCTCGGGTTCCTACAAGATTATATCAGAAGGAGGTCTGTGGCAGAAAGTTCAAGTACCCACCGGTCCCACTACGGGAGGAACTGTCTTTGCAGCCGGTGCTTTAACGCCATCATGAGCGGCGCAAAAGGCTATTGAATGTTAGCGTAATGTTACCAAATGCTCAGAAGGCTATTGGTGCCGGACGCTATAACGCGGGCGGCAGAATTGGGAGGACGGGAGAGAGGAAGACTTACGGTATATATTCGGGCATCTAAGCTTTCGGACGCGGTCGACGTGTGTTTGGGGTCGATATACCTTCATCATGCGCCCGCTCTCGGTGTACGACGGCAACCCAGAAGACTGGCGTTCTTTGTAGACGAGTTGGATCTCTCCGCGTACCGAGCAGCTTTGAAGTTGACGTTCCTCAATCATCTTTTGCGCGACGAGGAGGTTCCGCTTTTCGTGAAGCATGGGCATGACGATTGTTGGATGAGAAATGGCGACGACGCAAGGGCTTGACTTAGACTTTATGGGTAAGGCAGTGAAGATTTGCAATTGGAAGACTTGAAGGTGCGAGGTTTGCGTTTGCCAGTGGTATTCCGTGTGTGTATGAGATATGTATAAAGATGAAATATTAGACCTGCCTCTGGGTATAAAAGGGTTTTATCAGTTTAAAGTGAGAACTGGTCGCAAGGCAAAACTGCAAGGTGCATGCTCCCATGGTTCTTCTACGTGTGCGCGCAGACAGAAGTGCAATCGCGGGCAGCTGCTACAGTATCCTGGGACCAAACGGGCGGAGACATCGTGGGGTACACCTAAGTTAAGCATCATGGAGTAGCGCTCGGTGTCCCCGTTTGCACGCCCTGCTACGTACCGCCCTTCGCGGCGCGGATAATTACCCTGCTTTGATGTCGATGCAAGGCATTGTGGGTCTATCGTCTGAAGATGGACTCTGAGGATGGCGGGCTGACGGGCGCCATGTCGTGATATGGCCGGCAATTGCGACTCGGCGATAACGTTTAAGCGGCGGAGACAACCTGAACTTGAACTAATTACATCAGCGCCTTAAGCTGCCTTAGTTAGCACTGGCTACAACACCACCTCTTTGTCCGTCTGCCCGACTCTTCCGTCTGGTGTCCTTGACCTCGTTCGTTGCTAACATGGCTCCCGACAGAGGTCCATCGCGGACAGAGACCGCATCTCCACGCGCTTCAGCTTATCACCAGCCCGAGGCCCCCACTACTGTCCGGACGACTTCTCCCACGCCCGACATCGAGCCCTCCCACCACGATGAAACGCGTGAGCTCCTCGCCGAGCGGGCGTCCGAACCGCAGAACTTCACCTGGCGCGGCGTACTCGTGGGTCTCGCCATAGGCGTCGTAATATGCTTTTCCAACACGTACTTTGGCCTACAGACTGGCTGGGTTTCTAGCATGTCCATGCCCTCCGCTCTGATGGGATTCGCATTCTTCAAAACCATGTCGCGCCACATAAAACTGCCTTTCTCGCCGGTCGAGAACGTGCTCATACAGTCGGTTGCGGGATCCGTGGGCACCATGCCGCTGGGCTGCGGATTCGTGGGCGTTATACCTGCACTGCAGTTTCTACTGAAGCCCGAGGAGAATGGACCACTGACTCTGAGCTTGTGGAAGCTCATAGTTTGGTCGGTGGGCATATGCTTCTTTGGTGTCGTGTTCGCGGTGCCACTACGGAAAGAGGTTATCATCCGAGAGAAGCTGAAGTTCCCCAGTGGTACGGCGACGGCGCTCATGATTGGTGTTTTGCATGGAGGGGATGAAAAGGGTGCGGTGATAAAGCAAAGCCATAATCGCGAAGATGAAGAAGACAACGATGAACAGGACGGGCTCATCGTTGGAGGTGCTCCCGGGGGTGCTGTATCCGACGAAGTGTCACCACAAGCCTATCCGGAAACCGAACGTGGAGACGAACCCGGTACAGCTATGGATCAGCAGAGCGATTGGAAGGCCAAGATCCGCTTGCTTGTGATTTCGTTCAGCATCTCTGCAGTTTATGTACGTATCCCGCATTCCAGAGGGATGACATTTATTTTTGCGGAAGCTTATCCTCCAGTAGACGCTTCTCACCTACTTCATCCCTCAACTTCGGGATGTCCCAGTCCTTGGAATGACGCTTGCAAATGACTGGCTATGGACATTGAACCCATCTCCGGCGTATATTGGCCAAGGGATCATCATGGGTCCCGAGACGACTCTCCACATGCTTCTCGGTGCGGTTATCGGCTGGGGAATTTTGTCACCTTTGGCCAAGAGTAAGGGATGGGCTCCTGGTCCGGTCAGCGACTGGGGAACAGGGAGCAAAGGTTGGATAGTATGGGTCAGTCTTGCCATCATGTTGGCAGACTCGTTGGTCAGCCTTGGCTGGCTGGTGCTCAGGCCTCTGATCTACTACACCCGTGTCTGGCTACCCCGGTTGCAGGATCGTATGCGGAATCGTCCTTGGAAAGACGTCTTCAAAGTCAACCTTCGCCCTAACGACGGGTACTCTGCCCTCACCAACCTTACCACATCGCAAACGTCTGATGATGGCAAAGGCTCAAAGGACCAGCCTGAGGTTGACGCTCCTCCCGAACATCTCATCGGAGCGCGCACAACGATCATTGGCCTCGTCGCTTCTCTTGCCCTCACCGTCCTTGCCGTGCATTACGTCTTTGGCGACCTAGTCCCACTGCGCCTGACCTTTCTCTCCCTGTTTCTAGCACTGATACTCTCCATCATGGGTGTCCGGGCGCTCGGCGAGACCGACCTCAATCCGGTTTCTGGCATCTCAAAGCTGACCCAGCTTCTGATCGCAGTCGCCATTCCCAATGCGAGTACGAACAAGAACGCCGTTGTCATAAACCTCGTCGCCGGCGCTCTGTCCGAGTCTGGTGCCCTCCAAGCCGGCGATCTGATGCAGGACCTCAAAACAGGACACCTGCTGGGTGCGGCACCAAACGCGCAGTTCTACGGTCAGATCATCGGGAGCGCAGTAGGTGCCGTTGTGAGTGCTGCAGTGTACAAGCTGTACACGAATGTATATGAAGTACCGGGCCATCTCTTCCAGGTACCGACTGGGTTCGTATGGATATTCACGGCAAGACTGGTTACTGGGAAAGGACTGCCACCGATGGTAGCGCAGTGGGCGCTGGGCGCCGGTTTAATATTTGCGGTTGGTACTGCTGCAAGAGTTTGGGAAGCGGGTAGCCCGCATGGGAAGAGATGGACGCGGTTTGTCCCCGGCGGCATCGCAGTCGCGGTTGGTAAGTCGGCGCAATCATTGCTTCCCACTTGCCGTTTGCGGACAGAACATCTTCTTGTTTCATTTGCGCTGACGCTCTATCACAGGCATGTATAACGTTCCCTCGTTCACACTGGCCCGGACTATCGGAGGCCTGGTCAACTGGTACTGGAGAAGCTACAGGCAGAAGCCGGAGACGCCGATCATTGTCCTTGCGAGCGGACTTATCCTGGGAGAAGGCGTCGTCAGTATTGTCAACTTGCTGTTGGCTAGCGCCAAGGTGCCTCATCTATGAGGAACAGAGGTCACGCGCATGTACATAGGATTGCTTGCACATATCGAACGCTTTCAGATTGATCAGCTGCAGCATATAGATCACGGGGTACGACCATCAGCTATCTGCTGTGCGGGCTTACTTCGACTTCCTGAATAGACAGCAGACATCCTTCTTTCTCCTAATCACCGCTACCCAGACCTACTTCGATAACGTAGGAATCCCAACAAGGGCTTGTTCCAGGACAGATAGAGGCGTAGTTCTGGCTTGCTTCGACTTTGCTGTTCCCGTCCAGGAGATCTAAGCGAACTCATTCATGCGCAAAAAGATTCGCCCAATGAGAGCGTTGATCCCCACGGTTGCGGCTTTCCGTCGTTCCGTCCCGCCTTTCAAAAAGAAGGTCGCGCAAAAAGACAAAACGATAATTCCGTAACGGGGAATTGAACCCCGGCCTTGTCGGATCTTTCAAAGTGATGAGAGCGACAAATCCTAGCCACTAGACCATTACGGATATGATGACTTGATGTAAATAAATTTTTATTTTTACAATATATACACATCAAAGTGCCAGCCACGACCATTTTGACCGTACCTCATTTTTCCAATCGCGATAGACAGTACGCAATGCAGCAGCGATTGAACGATACATCAGTCGCCCACCACGAGAATTAAAACCCGCAAAGTACCGCCTGTACCCTTCGATCTTCAGGCCGACAGCCGCTGTCGAGATGCACTTCAGTGGCCAAAGAAGTCAGCTCAAGCCTCTCTTCAACACAGGAAGAGGCGTAGTTCCGGCTTGCTTCAACCCCTTCGCTGTTTGCTGTCCGGGCTTTTCTCTGAGCTCTGAAAGATACAAGAGGGATTTACTTCTTCCTGATGCGTGCTGTCTGAACTCACTTTGATTACATGCGCTGCTGCGCATAGTACAACGCGGTGTTTGCAAGTGGTTGATGCCCAGAGCTTGCAGCGCAGGTAAGAGTCGGATGGATTCGGTATACTCATTCACCTAAATAGTGGTATCATGAGCAGCCGAGTCCATACCAGTAGTGCTCATGGGTTTGTCATTTGGCCTACACAGGCATGACTGGTGACAATAATTTCGGATAACAAGTCTCATACTATTCTGGTTTTCGATTCAACATCGAACTGAACGAGAAGCAATATCGACTGCTTAGGCAGCACCGGTCCCGGTCGCCATAGGAAGAGCGGCATGTTTCCTTGACGCCAGTCGAATGCTAGCATGTAGCCGGGGAAATTCGAGTTGACCATGTACGCCATGAGACTCCTTGCCGCGCCGGAACGATACAAGTTCCCTCAACGAAGGAAAGGTACAGAGAACGACGCGTGTGAGGATAGCTTTGAAGGAGACGAGAATGAGAAATGACAGACTACATTTTGTAGCAATGCTCAAAGAGATAGGATAACGAGCCGAAAGTAAATCGAACAGGGGGTAAAAACACTAAATGCAATAACTACTAGGCGCATATGTCGATGTAACCTGAAAAAGCTGGGGAATCCAAAAGGCGAAAAGCGAAAACGTCCTCCTTGAAAAGCGAGACGAGAAAATCGAAAATCCTTCGTCGTCATATCATAAGTGCGTGAAAGAAGAAGAATGATGTCTCGCAGGAAAGCGAGAAGATTCGAGGACCGCTCATTGGGGGAAACGTGGAGATGACAGTGGCCTCATGTTCGATGCTGATCGGACAGGGCTATGTGGTCGAACCGGTGCTCTAATTCACGCCGACCCAGAGCACCAGTTTCGGGCACCTCGCCACCGCTTCCGCCAGATCGTCGTCTCCTCTGATACCGTAGTATTCTCCAGTGTTTTCATCTCGCCATTCTATCACAAGCTCTTCGTCACCGCCCGCATCGATTTCTTCACCTCTCTCCAGGGCGCGACGTTCTTTCAGCTTCTTGTAAAGATCGGCATATCTGAACAAAGCTGGCATCCGGATAACGACACAGTTGTCTTCTTCAAACCACACTTTGATCTTGTGAGCCCCGAGACCGGTACCAGTTCCGGTGTTTGCAGAGGAGGCCGATGTCTGAGTCAGAGCGCTGTTATTGCGCAGCATAGGGGCAGGCTGGGATGGTCGCAAGGACTGAGCGTGCGACGAGACCGAAGATTTGCCACGCTGGTGCGACTGTACAGATGCATAGCTGGCCTGACCCAGGCTTTGCGTGTGCGAATGTGATTGTTGCAGATTCCCCGAGCTGCTCTGCCGGCTCACATCTTGTGATGGATCCGATTGTTGTGAGGCCCCGCTCAACCGGTATTCGTCTTCATTGACATTGGGATCAATCTCGTAGTCATTCTTCTTGGGTTCGAAGAATCCGCGCACAAGATCGGAACCGGCAATATGAGGTCCCAGCTTCAGCAAGTTCTTGATATAATCATCGAGGTTTGAACGACGAAGGTTGGATATGTTGTCCGTGACATAGGTGACCGGGCCGGGCATGTATGGGAGAGTGCGCTCGACGCCTCTTTGGCCGGCTTCAAGGGGGAATTCCTGAATGAGTCTGATCTGGAGGTCATAGAAATCTTGATAGAGGCGGGAGAGCTCCCAGAAGCGGCCATCCTCCATTTCACATTCGACGATGAACCAGAATATATCGTCCGCATAGCAGTATCTTGGGACACTGGCGGAAACTGGCGCAAGAGGTCGGGGTCCTTGAGATTCGAGGTAAGCATTGTGGGGTACGCTGCCTGAGCGTTCGTAGGACTGTAAATGAGCAAGATTAGCCTCAACGAATCAGGGATATGTAACGAGGCACTTACTGAGTAGCCATTTGGATCGTGCCCGTTCTGACTCCTGACACTCATCCTCTCCATACCTTGCTGCAGACTCTGCGCCGAGTTTGCCTCGAGTTTCCCCAGCGGAATGCTTCCATTCTTGTATTCAGCCGCCATCTTCTTCCACTCCTCCACGCGGGGAACTCCCGCTCTCTGAACGGCCGCTTGCGCATCCGGTACTGCCTGACCGGTTGTCATATCTCTGATCTCGATAAAGGACACGGGTATCAGGCCGGGCCCCCCTAGCCTTGTGATGGGTTTGGCGACGAACCATTCAGGGTTGGATTGCGCGATGACGATGATGGCCTCCCCCTCCTTTGCTTCGAGCTCGTCGGGGCGCTCGGCCTTGAAGTCGTACATGACGATGCCATAAACCATGGCGCCGGAACCTTTGGTCATGGACTTGGACATTCTGATGGGCATGGGATCGTGCTCGGGGGTCGTCTTCTCGGCGTAGCCAGAGTCGTGGCCAGCGCTGGGTAGGTTTGCTAGCTCGGACGTTGAACCGCCGCTGTCCCGGACCGTCTTTCCCACGAGCTCAAAGTACTTAACGGGTACCAAACCTCTGGTGCCGACGAGCGGGTTGCATGCCTCGTACCAGTCGGGGTCGTTTTCGCGGGCGACGACGTGCAGGAAGTCGCCCTGGGAGAAGCTGAGGTAGCCCGAGGCTGGGTCGGGATCGGAGGCTGTGTAGTCGTACAGGGCCTTGATGACCTGACGGGCGGGGGCGGGTTAGCGAGGCGGAGCGGGCGGGCGAATAGTGGGCGAAGGGTGGCAAGACGTCACGTACCTTTTTGGGCGGGATGATGGCGATGGCGTCCTTTGGTGGAATGGAAATGTGGTGCGGCTTCGAGTCGGATTTGTCGCTCTTCATGGATCTCCGGAACTAGGAGGCTGTTTTTCAGCAGGGTCCACCTTGGGCACCGCGGGGTCGGCTTGACCACTGACCTTGACCATGGTGCGGCAGTCCTAGGCGGCGCAGGCCTCTGGGGATGGTGGTGAGGTGTGTACCGTGGGCGAGTGCGCCTGGGCGGCCGACGGGCTGCTGCTGAGGAGCGACGGAATGCGCAGCGTGCGGTGCAGCAGCAGCGGCAGCGGCAGCAGCAGCAACAGTCGAGAGTGCGCCTAGCAGCAGGTAGTGTGGGTCGGTGGTTTCGCAGAGCGGCGGCGGGCGGCGCAACAGGTCACGGAGTGCGGTGGGCGAACGAGTGAAGCCCGCGATCGCAGCAGCAGCAGCAGCAGCAGCAGTAGTAGCAGTAGTAGTAGTGGCTGGAAGCAGGTCGGACGTCACGGCGAGAGGATGGGAGTGTGGTGGTGTTGGTGAGGACGAGAGCGAGAGCGAGAGAGAGAGAGAGAGAGGGAGCGGACGAGAGCAGACGGGGCAGGCTTTGAAGCGCCTCGTGGCAGCCACTGGGAGGGAGACAATGATAAGTTATGGACAGCAGCAGTACGCAAGGAAGGCACCACGCTACAGGCGCGCGCGCTTGAACGCTACTGAATGTCCCGAGATGAGCGAGCAAGTTGGAGACAGGATGAAGGACGAGAGAGTGTGTAGTGTGTAGTAGTAGTAATCTAGTGGCAGCTCTGGCTGGAGAGGCAGTTGAGGGCAGCTGGAGGCACTTGAGGATGGACCGGAGGACGATGGCGAGCGGGGCGGACTGCGTGCGGGCCTTGACCTTGGGCACGCTGTGGCGCCGCACACCTGCTGCATGCCCGCCGATCGTCGCAATTCTCTCTCTTCAAACTACAGCGGCCAATTCTCATCATTCTCCTTCAGCCTTGCCAGGCACATGGGCGGGCACTCTAGCGGAGACAATTGCGACGCGCCGTTGAAGCTATCGCCCTACCTACCCCTCGGCCGTTAGTTGCTGTACCGTAACGAATCACCCACTCACTCGGGGAAATACTATCGACCACCCTCACACCCTCACACCCTCACACCCTCCTCGACGCCGTTACTTCGGGGCGTCGGCACCTCCGAGAGGATCGCGCCGCAACGATAATTGATTCAACTAATAACAACCTTGGAGGTATCCATTCGCTACAGACAAGCAAAAGAGAGCCACTCGGACCGGCCTTCGTCAGTCCATTGCGAGCCCAACCCATGGCCTGCCTGCAGCACAATAGCCAACCCCAGAGACGAACGCCCGCCTCATGAATCATCACTGCACTCCGCAAGCCGTACCTGCGCCGTCCTGGACCACCAACTCCCAAGTCCGAAACGCGGCCTGCATCGTACAGCCGCGCTTCCTTTTGCGACTCTGTCCACCCATCACTCCGTGCGCACCACCCCGCGCTGATGTAGTCAAAACCAAACAAAAACTGGAGAAGGAAAAGTTGCCAACAGGCCATCATCTACCGTGATTTGCTGAATGTCCCATCTTGCCGCCATCCGCTATGCAATTCAGGCTCTGAGTGTCGCAGCTACAGTCGCAAGACAAAGAATGCGGGTGTCCGCATGCATCTGGCCTGCCCGCGTCGCCACGTTCCAGGCGCGCCAAGGTGACGCAGCGTCATCGTTGAGGGCGCCTTGACCTTCGTTGCACACGGGTGCCGCAGAACACTGCGGCAATCCGGATATTATCCAAACCCTCGACTGCTGCGGAGAAAGGTCCACGTCTCCATGCAAGGTGGTAGCGACGGGGTCGGCGGAAGTTGGCTCATGGGAATAAGTATGTTGATTGATGGAAAAGAGAAAGAAAGAGGTGCCTGTCGCT